TGTCATATAGTTTGAAAGTAACATGGGATTTTTTAAATTTGTAATGCGTTACAAAGTTTGAAAGTAACATGGGATTTTGCAAATTTGTAATGCGTTACAAAGTTTGAAAGTAACATGAGATTTTTCTAATTTGTAATGCGTCACAAAGTTTGAAAGTAACATGAAATTTTTCCGATTTGTAATGCGTTAATGTTCTAATTTACAACGCTAGCAGCGCTGCTTAAATCATCATTTAAACACGTTTCCCACTTGCCCATTTCTTGGTCTAGTTCCCAGAACCTCTTTGATATCGATTTGCCGCTCAGTTTTTTCCGTTTCCCTGAATCAACATTCCTTACGCGGGAGTCAGAAGACATCCAGGCAAGGGATTTGCTAATAGTTCGTGGATATTCTTGACGCTTTAGTCTTTGGCTCGGTAATAGAATCTGTGACAACTGTCTACTAAGATTCTTGTCTCTCTCTTTAGTTTTCACATTTTCTTTTGCGTTTGTTTCCCGCAAAGTTTCTGGAGACGATGGACTAAACGAGGAACACGAGTATGTAGCTACAAGACTATCCGTAGGTGTATGTCTGCTGATAACCATGCTGTATTGACCAAATATGTCCGAATTCAGAGACTCCACTCGCACGGGGTAAACAAGTGTCTTATCCCCACGAGTGCAGTGGGGCAAATCCTCTTTCATATTCTTATCCGATGGAAGTTTCTTCGAGCCGTCTCTGCCACAGGTAATTTGTTTCAAGCGTCTACGGAAATTAGTATTAATGTAGCTATATATAGCTGCATTCAGTAGTGAGTTGCAGTAAATCATCCAAGTAAAAACACGAAATGTAATGAATACATTATTGCTGGCATGCCCTCCAATGGCTGCCGATACTAAAAGTACGTGATAAGGTGTTTGCAATACAACGATTACTATAAGAATCAATAGAATGGCCATACTGAGACGTTTTTCTAAGGTGCTAGTTGGAGGTGCTGGAGTCGCCGAGACAACGTGTTTGACAGCAGGCACATTTAAATTTAAGTTCTCATCCTCGTTATCTCGATGGCTGATATTTTGATTGGAAACGGTGAAAATCGCACTTGACGGTGGTGGATACTTTGGATCGTTGTTATGCCACTCGTTGATCTTACGTGAGCGCAAACGAGCCGTCCGATAGATTCGTAGATTAGTATACAGAATGACGGAGAGAGGAAGCGAGTAGCTAAAGACAAATAGAACGATAGAAGCCGGTATACCTTCAGCTTTCCCGAGGTCTAGAAAACATCCACGTAGTACGCAGTTATATTTGTAGTTAGAACCCAGACATATCGGTAGGGCTGCACATACGAGTCCATACAGCCATGCAAGAATTATCAGCACCATTGCACGTCGCGGTTTTAAGAGAGACTTGTATTTTAGCGGATGTAAAACGCAGACATAACGATCCAAACTTATAATCAATAAATTAGACAGTGTTGTCGTAAAGAGAGCAGCAGATATGTATCCATGGAAACCACAAAACGTGATCCCCAGCGTGTTGGGATTCACAACAACCAAGACGATATTTGAAGGGAGCAAAATGGATCCTATGACAAGATCGGAGACCGACAAACTCAGAGCAAAATATGGTGCAACAACTCGTTTGGTTTTGTATATCTGTACTTTGAAGAGAGCCACAATTATTAATATGTTAGCAGCGATTACTAGAAACATAGTTATTGCCAGGCATAGAGCAAACCACGGTTCAATCCCTGTATCAGACCAACAGGTTACTGCGCCGAAGTCGTTGCTGATGTTATTTCCTTCCATCTCCCACTACTGTAGCGTGGATTAATATCGAGCTTCGTGCAACTAGTATCTGTTTTCACCATTCAGTACTGATGGGCAGTTGTATTTGTCCACGAGCAGCCAATGAAGCGTTAGAAATGATCCTAGTTTGAATAATTAATATATCAACGTGTCACCTGACTTAACACTGCTTCTTATCCCAAGTAAACTGATAGGGTTGTCTGCATTAATGATATGAACATCGAATTATGCATATACGTGTTATTTAACAATTATATTGCACAAACTAAATTGATGACCATGAACAAATTTTATGAATGGTCATGCGCATGAATTAAAAAGGTCATGTGTTGGTGGCTTATTTTCAAGAATAGAGGACACTGAATTTGATCCTAACGGAATTGCGGATTGTAAAATGTTAGTTGTTACTACCAGATTTGAGAAAGCATAAACGCGATAATAAAATAAAATAGAAGAAATCCATAATACGCGTTTCCCATTTAATAAAAAAATGAAATGGACATAAAATGCATTTTTTAAGCAATAAAACAGCGCAGTAAAACATTTTATTGACTTTTATTACCAAAGGTGTTTTATCTCAGCGAATAGTTGGCACCATTATTCTATCCCAATACTCTTCGTGCTAGCTATCGCACTTATATAGTTTATTTAATGAATTGCTTAGAAAGAGTCTGGTCATGTTAGCTAGTGTAAACTGGGGAAGTATACGACAGCCTATTTCACACCAATTTCCGCAGTTCGACAACCTATTTCAAATGGCGTTAAAGTCACTAAGTGAGTTAAATTGGACGTGTCTATGAATATGTAGTAGAAAGTAAGTCACAGTGGAATGGAAACCGACGCTTCATGGAACATAGTATTTTCGAGATCCAGTTCGAGTTCAAGTTCAGACACACGTTATATTGATATAAACATTAAAAATAAAATGTATTCGACAAAGTTATGTCATAGAAAACTTAATCAATATATGATTAATAATGTATGATTTATAGGAAATGATTCATTTTATATTTAAACTAATTTTTTTGCACTTTTGATAAATTGTATTAATTATATTATTGCATGTCCCCGTAATGATTATCCCTTTTAACGATATTCTTCAATCTATTCAGCTCCATACACCCCTTTGATACAGGGCCATGCGACGTATACAACAGGTTACAAAATGCATTGTTTACACGAAATTCAACAACACACTGCACGACCGACGAAATACGCCTCTTACATTTTCCTAGTACATGAATTACATGAATTAGTTATATCATGACGCCAAATACACATATATGGTGTAACTTACATGTAATGGAATCACACGCCACATTCCTTCTTACACGTATATCTCCATATTGATGTTAATGCTAATAGTTTTATATATTTCCACAGTCTATACAATTTATATATTTAGTCCCCTGTAAGCATGCGTTTTGTTTTGATCTTTTTAGTTTTAGTTTATATAAAATGAATGCCACTGTAAACGAGTGAATCTCGTGTTATCCAACATAACTAGTCATGTAACCATAACAATAGCTAGGCATTACAAATCAACATTATGGTATCGTATTTTATATCGTTATTTTATTACATTATCCTGTTTGCGGAAATTTGTGTTATGTTTCGCGAATCATAATTGCGATAATTTTATCACAATCATAAATGTAATAATTTTATCACAATCATAAATATAATAAATTTATCACAATCATAAATGTAATAATTTTATCACAATCATAAATGTAATAATTTTATCACAATCATAAATGTAATAAATTTATCACAATCATAAATGTAATAAATTTATCACAATCATAAATGTAATAATTTTATCACAATCATAAATGTAATAAATTTATCACAATCATAAATGTAATAATTTTATCACAATCATAAATGTAATAACTTTATCACAATCATAAATGTAATAAATTTATCACAATCATGAATGTAATAAATTTATCACAATCATAAATGTAATTATTTTATCACAATCATAAACGTAATAATTTTATCACAATCATAAATGTAATAATTTTATCAAAACCATAATGTAATAATTTTATCGCAATCATAAATGTAATAATTTTATCATAATCATAAATGTTATAAATTTATCACAATCATAATGTAATAATTTTATCACAATCATAAATGTAATAATTTTATCACAATCATAATGTAATAATTTTATCACAATCATAATGTAATAATTTTATCACAATCATAAATGTAATAATTTTATCTCAATCATAATGTAATAATTTTATCACAATCATAATGTAATAATTTTATCACAATCATAAATGTAATAATTTTATCACAATCATAATGTAATAATTTTATTACAATCATAAATGTAATAATTTTATCACAATCATAAATGTAATAATTTTATCACAATCATAAATGTAATAAATTTATCACAATCATAAATGTAATAATTTTATCACAATCATAATGTAATAATTTTGTCACAATCATAAATGTAATAAATTTATCACAATCATAAATGTAATAAATTGTATTTTTTCACCTTATTGCAGAATCAAAACGCAATTAAAACAAAAAACAGTTAATTTAAAACATTCATTTTATGCAATATCAATAGATTCTGATCAGAGTGTAATGTATGATGTAATAATCTCACAATGTGTTACAGTTAAGGGACACGTCTACCTGAACTAGTAGTCACGAGGAGACCTTCGTATACAGGGAGAAGTCAAATACTCTGAGGATATAAAAGAAACACCCAGTGGGTAAAGAGAAATCATTCTAGATTACACTGAAGCATATCGAAGGATGATAAGAGACAACTCGGTTGACTGATAAAGACTGATAAAGAGACAGTAGCGTAGTTGCTTAGCAACTAAATTTTAAATTTATCACTACCGCAATAAATATGCGAGGTGTAGTGCTTTACTTCGTGAGGCATTGCGTCCTCACTGTTAAGACGTAAATATATGAAAATACAAACATAATTGTGGAAAAAACTACGATAACAAAAAATATTTTCAAAATGGTCTCTTCTGAGTGCCTATTGTTTATACTGACGTTTTTTCTCCGGCTTAGAATGTATCGCGGCATGGCTGTATCAAAGCACACGTTAGACGTAGAAACGAAGTAATTTATGGACTTGATAAATGCACAGGTGCTAAGCCATTCAGTGAAAGAGGCAATGTTATTTGGTGGTGAGATCGTATTCGAGGGGAACATTAATGATATCAAAACAGAGCATAACATTGCTGGAAGTACGTACTACTGGATTTGTAGTAATCGGCAATTGTTTATCGTTTAACTTGAATCTATATATGATATCAAAACAGAGCATAACATTGCTGGAAGTACGTACTACTGGATTTGTAGTAATCGGTAATTGTTTATCATTTAACTTGAATCTATATATATATATATATATATATCTTTACGAATCCATGAACACTGTTACGCGCCGGTCATATATTTACAACGGTGATCAATGCATGTGTGTGTGTTACGTGGTAGAATGGTAAACTTTGCTAGAATTAAACACGTCAAAAATATAACAAAATTATTCTGTATTCTAAAGTTTGATCCTACTACAATATTATTTTAGAGGTCTGAGACACCGAAACATTCATACACCCTACAATGCACGTTGTGTTGAGAATAGAGCTATTACTCGTAATTACCGTGTCATTTACATTAATATATTCGAACTAAATTTGAATGGCATATCCTGTGATATATTGCATGTGTACATTAAAATGTGTTTTGTTCATTTTGTTATATTCCTCAATCCCATAACTCCGGATGCGACTCACAATGTCAATAAAATATCCTTTTTTGGGTAATTAATCAAGATAATATTATATGTCCTATGTTGCAGGGAGAGTTTGTATCACTGAGTCTACAAACCCACTATTTGCCAAGACAACCCGTATTCTTATATACTTCCATGTCGGTGGTGTTGTGACAGATCGGTTACACAGCGTGTACAAAACATGCGATAGCTTTGTACAATATTACTCCATACATCATTACAGTACTAATGGAAGCGCGTTTACATCACATGCAAGGAGTGTTTATGTAATGGAAAATGTGTTTACGTCATTGAGTGTGTGCTTACGTCATGGAAAATGATTGTGTGTGTCACATACACTGCCGGACGTATTATGACGTAACCGTTATATACGTACGTGTTTGCTTCCTATTCGGGTATCTTATTTGTAATTAATAGCTTTACTGAATAAAAACCGCTGTGTCTAGCGACCTCTGGGGTGAGATTTCCTGCAGAGGGTGTCTTTTTCGCTTGTTCTCGGCGTCCCTTGCGAATGGCAATTCAGACGCAGGCAGGACGCAGGTAACTAGTAATCGCCATATATTTCCACTGGGCCCTGATTCCGGCCCAATGGCACGTGACTGAGTGACGTAATTCGAAAACATTCCAAGTTCCACTCTACGTAAACGTGTCTGCAATACTACAATAACGCCACGTCCATTCATTCCGCCTGAATATACTTCATACTTGAGGTGATTCTAGCCTTTTCACTCTTTTTGTACAAAGTGATAACAAACAAAAAAAGTTTTATATTCGTGAAATCCAAAGGAAAACTCTGCCCTCTATACAGAGCGTAAGCGCTGACGTCATGTAAACTAGGCGAATAGAACAAAGATTGAGAAGGTGATCAACCAATCGGAATGCTGGATACATTACTAGTTACCGGCCATCGGTGCTTTGGTGCGCCATGACACTTGAGGCGAGAACCAGCCAATGACCGGGTTTGACCGTTCCGAAAATTAAAAGAATTATACAAGCTCTATATTACTCACAGCAGTATATACTCTCCCTCGCCCAAACCTGTATTGAATATACTCTCT